TTATTGTTAGTGAACCAATGGATCAACTGCATAACCAGTGGCTCATATAGTTGCCTTGTCACCTGAGGAAAGAGAAAATCATTAGTTTATTTCTTTCATGCTAAAACAATTTTATATTTGAAAAAGACTCATTTAAATGGCATGGGCAAACACCAAGATACATTACAATAAAGCTGCTGAAAAACAATGACCAAGACAATATTAAAAACATTAAGAGAAAAAGACAGACAATCCATAATGGAGCACCAATGAGACTGTCAGTGAACTATTCAAGAGAAACACTACAAACATGAAGGGACTAGAAAGCAGTATTTAAAGAAAAAAAGACTTCCTGTCTAGAATTCTTCACCCAGTAAGATTAATATTCAAGATAAGAGGAAACAGTATGGACTTAAAGCAAAAATTTAAAAATTTTTCAACACCAAGCTGCACAACAAACTCTAAATAATGAGGTAATACATACCTTAATCACTTAATGTAGAAGAGGAAGAAAGTAATAATAAATTGTGTTCCATTGGAAGAGGTTAGAAAACAGACTGTCCAATGAGTCACACAAAAAGCCTATCAATAATCTGAGTAGAACACTAAAAATTTAATAAAAGTAACACATCAGACAATGGGCATGAAATTTAAATAAAATACCATGAAACTCTCAAAATTTTTTTAAAAGACAAGGCAATCCAAAACAAAAAACTAAAACAGTAACATAATGGCAATGGACACTTACACAGCCAAAATCACTTAAAATGTAAATGCTCTAAACTCAACCAGTCAAAAGATATAGTGTGGCTGAATGGATTTTAAAACAAAGTTCAACCTTCTGTTGTTTTTGTTTTTGTCTTTTTTAGACTTATTATTTATGCATACAGAACTGAGGTACAAGCCAGAGATGCAGGGGCAGTGAGAGGATCCACCACAGACAGAGTGGGGAGCAGAACAGGCAGATCAAGTACACTGATGAGGGGAGCAGCGGGTAAGACAGGAGAGGTCTACCATGCCATGTGGATCACCTCCAGGGCCTGGGATGGAACTCACACTGAAGCAGCTGAACTTCCTTTTAAAATCCATTCAGCAACATTATATCTTTTGACTGGTTGAGTTCAGATCATTTACATTTAAGGTGATTTTGGCTATGTAAGTGTTCACTGTCATTATGTTATTGTTTTAGTTTTTTGTTTTAGATTCTCTTGTCTTTTTAAAAAATTTTGAGAGTTTCACGTTATTTTATTTAAATTACATGCTAGCGTGCAGTGCTGCATCCCAACCCATTGAGCCACCAAGGAGGGATGGAATCTTCTATTGTTTTTAAGAAAGTCACCAACAAAGTACAAGCAGAATTAAAATCTTGGCAACCCAACAAAAATCAGGGGCAACTAATCTTACATAATACGTTCAGTTAAAAAAAGTAGTAAGTAATAGACACTGTATCTATATTAGACTAAGATCTAATACAAGATAAAATAATACTCATAAATATATATGCACTCAATGATGGAGCACAAAGGTACATAAGACATTAACAGAACCAAAAATGACAGAGAAATACTGACAACACAGTACTGTTAGAGAATTTTAATACCCAATGATATCTATGGGCAGTTGAACAAAACGAAGAAGTAAAGAAACAATAGCCTTAATTAAGGAGCTAGAATAGACTTAAAAGACATATACAAAATATTCTACCCCCAAACCATTGCATCTTTATTTTTTCTTATTGCACAAAGGAAATTTTCAAAACTAGATCGTATCTTAGACATAAGTAAACTATAAACAAAACCACAAAGATCAAAATTTTATCTAGTATTCTTGCTGAGCAGAATGCCATAAAGTTAGAAATCAATAAGGGAAAAAAAA